CAGTATTCTGCAGCGATACGCCATCCCATCTGGTTTGGACTTAGTGGGACTATCGTTTGTTTTTCAACAGGACAATGACCCAACACACCTCCAGGCTGTGTAAGGGCTATTTTACCAAGAAGGAGAGTGATGGAGTGCTGCATCAGATGATCTGGCCTCCACAATCCCCCGACCTCAACCCAATTGAGATGGTTTGGGATGAGTCGGACCGCAGAGTGAAGGAAAACCAGCCAACACGTGCTAAGCACATATGTGAACTCCTTCAAGACTGTTGGAAAAGCATTCCAGGTGAAGCTGGTTGAGAGAATACCAAGAGTGTGCAAAGCTGTCATCAAGGCAAAGGGTGGCTATTTGAAGAATCTCAAATATAAAATATATTTTGATTTGTTTAACATTTTCTGGTTACTACATGATTCCATATGTGTTATTTCATAGTGTTGATGTATTCACTATTATTCTACTATGTAGAAAATAGTAAAAAAATAAAGAAAAACCCTTGAATGAGTAGGTGTTCTAAAACTTTTGACCGGTAGTGTATGTCATTCTTTGCCGCACATGACCACACAGCTGGGCAGTTGTCCAGGTGCGACAATACTATGGGCCTGTAGGACCTGTCTGGTCGACTGAGATGTCAAGAAGGTAGAGCAACGCCCTATCATGGACAGACCTCTTCCTATTTTAGCAACCATTGAGTCTATATGTTTTGACCATGACAGCTTGCTATCTAGGGTTACACCCAGCAGTTTTAGTCTCCTCAACCTGCTCAATAGCCACATTATTCAATAATAGATATAAACAAGGTTTAGCATTGAGCAAGTGATTTGTCCCAAACATTATGCTTTTTTATTTTTTGAGATACAGTATTTAGCACCGACCTTTTGCTAGTTACCCATTCTAAAACTGACTCGAGCTCCATGTTAAGTGTCTCAGTTATTTATTTTACTGTTGCAGACGATGTGTATACTGTTGAGTCATCAGCGTACATAGACACACAGGCTTTTTCAAGGTCAGTGGAAGGTCATTTGTAAAAACAGAAAATAATAATGGCCTCAGCCGGCTGCCCTGCGGTACACCACACTCAACTGAATTTGCATGAGAGAGGCTTCCATTAACGAAAACCTTCTGTGTTCTATTAGATAGGTCATGCTCAATCTATAGTACGGCAGAGGATGCAAATCCATAACACCTACATATTTTTCAACAATAGGCTTTGATCAATGACATCAAAAGCTGCACTTAAGTCTAGAAAAACAGCTTCCACAATCTTCTTACTATTCATTTCTTTCAGCCAATCATTTGTGTCAGTGCCGAGCATGTTGAGTGCCCTTCCCTATATGCATGCTGAAAGTCTGTTGTTAATTTGTTTTCTGTAAAATAACTTTGTATTTGATCAAACACATTTTTTAAAAATAAGTTTGCTAAGCACTTGTAACAGGCTGATTGGTCGGCTGTTTGAACCATTAAAGGGTGCCCTGCTATTCTTGGGTAGCAGAATGACCTTTGCCTCCCTCCAAATCTGAGGGCACAAGTCTTCTAGGCTTAAAGTGAAGATGTGGCAAACAGTAGTCACAATGTATTCTGCTACCAACCTCAGCAATTTACCATCCAGGTTGTTGGTACCAGGTGGTTTGTCCTTATTTATATATAGCAACAATCTTTTAACCTCTTCCATACCCACTTTGTGGAACTCAAAACTACAGTGCTTGTCTTTCATTATTTGGTCCCTTATGCATGAATACGAAGGCTCAGCATTTGTTGTTTGCATGTAATACCTAAGTTTGCTAATCTTGTCAACAAAAAGTTATTAATGTGGTTGGCAATATCAAAGGGTTTTGTTATGAACAAGCCATCTGCCTCAATGAAGGATGGAGCCGAGTTTGCTTTTTTGCCTAGAATTTCATTTCAAGTACACCAGAGCTTTTTACTATCATTCTTTATATAATTAATCTGTGTTCCATAGTATAGTTTCTTCTTCTTTTTGTTTAGTTATGTGATTTCTCAATTTACTGTATGTTTGTCAGTCTGCTTTGTTGTCAGACTTATTTGCTATTCCCTCTGCCTCATCCCTCTCAGCCATACAGTTTTTCAATTAATAATCTATCCATGGGGATTTGGAAGTTCTAACAGTCAGTTTCTTAATGGGCGCATGCCTATCAGTAAGCGGAAGAAGCAGTTTCATAAATGCTTTAAGTGCAGCGTCCGGATGTTCCTCATTAAACACAATCACATAGCAATCATTGCAAAACGTCTTGTATGATCGTTTATACACAATTTTAGGTCCAGTCTTTGGAACTTTGGTTTTTCTAGATATGGCTATTGTATTATGATCACTACATCCGATGTGTGTGGATTCTGCTTTAGAGCAGATTTCTGCAACATTAGTAAAGACGTGATCAATACATGTGGATGATTTAGTTCCTGTTCTGTTTGTAAATAACCTGTTAGGTTGACTGATGACTTGAACCAGACCGTAGGCACTGGTTACAGCTTGGAGCTTCTTTTTGAGTGGGCAGCTTGATGACAACCAGTCAATATTTAGGTCACCCAGAAAATATACCTCTCTGTTGATATCACACACATTATCCAACATTTCACACATATAGTCCAAATACTGACTTTTAGCACTTGGTGGTCTATAGCAACTTCCTACAAGAATAGGCTTTAGGTGAGGCAGATGAACCTGTAGCCATATTATTTCCACATCATCTGACATGAGATCCTCTCTCAGCCTAACAGGAATATAACTTTGGACATACATGGCAACACCTCCTCCATTTGAATTTCTATCTTTCCTATATGTTCTATAACCATGTATAGCTACTATTGCATCTTTAAATGAATTATATAAATGTGTTTCAGAGATGGCCAGAATATTAATGTTTTCTGATGTTAATAAGTTGTCCATTTCATGAACCTTGTTTTTTCTTGGTTGCTTGTTTGTGTTTAGTGCTATTTTGAGAGGCTGATTCGAGGTACACATGTCAGTGAAATGTACATTTGAATCAATGGTACTGAGTGGGCTGCCCACAGTGGGCTTCTTCCTAAGGCAGACAGTTTAAGTGCAAACAGTGAAATTCAGTTCTATGCGCATATGATTATTGCAGACAATAGCCTCAGAGCTAACAGTTAAAGGAACACAGATTAGGTTACTTACATTTACGCACTTCTATTTCTCTGGGATATAATATGATTTCCATGTCCTCTGTTGCTTATTATGACAGGGAGGACTGGAGCGCTACCAAACCAAGACCATCAGTCTCTTAAGCAGTTCGCTATGTTGATGGAGATAAACCTGGAACCCCTGCGGTTAGGGTGAATCCCATCTCGTTTAAAGAGTGTTGGTTGCTCCCACAACAAGTCAAAATTGTCACAAAAGGAGACATTCCTGTCTTTGCAGAGTTTCTTCAGGAACTTGTTTATGGCAGCGAGACAGCTGTAACCTTCCGAACCCCTTCTATAGCACAGCAGGGGGCCAGAGATGACTGTGTTCAAGAGAATGTTCAAGAGAAGGGTGTTCAAGAGAATGTTGTAGTTTAAGAGATTGTTGTAGTCCTCCTTCAGTTCCTCAGATTGCCGAAAGCGAATGTTGTTAAATCCAACGTGAGTGACACTGGTGCCAATATTAGAGTAGTTGGCTAGAACTGTGGGCAGAAGGGAGTTGATGTCTTGGATACGGGCGCCTGGGTGACAGTGGACTTTGGTCGGCCCACAGGCTGCAGGCAGGCCAATATCTCTCACTATCGAGCTGCCCACAACGATGGTGGTGGTGATGGAATCTGATGGGGAAGGAAGAGGGTTAACAGAACGGGCCTGCCTTGGGCGGGGGGAGGAGGTGGGCTTCGACTCATGCCAGCCTGACTCACATCACATGTACCATTAACAGCGGATGGCGTCGGAATCTTCGGGGAGAAGGAGGAGGGCCCAAGACCTTGTTTCCTTTGGTCAGCGACCGGCTGAGCTGTGAAGGGTGCCCATGGACGGCTGCTGGCTGTTGGTGTACTCCCAGGATCAGAGTTGACCCCCGGTGGCCGGTATGTCCGCCTCCAGTGGAGCATAGCTGTTTAATAGCTGGATCTGATCTTCCAGGATACATGGAGGCCGACCAGACTGCCTTCCACCCGACCTTGTTCGCATTGCCAGTGTCCAGTCTACCACTGGCTACAGAGTTGAGCTTACCATCTGTCCAATGGTTTGGAGTAGGTCAGTACCGCCCGACTCATCAACCCCTTGGCTGTAGGAGGCATTCAGAACTTAAATGATGTGTGCCTGGGCTGCATCAAAGTGCTTAGAAAGCACATCTTGTTTTTCCCGCAACTGAGCTAGCAGCCGGATAATCTCTTCCCTAAGCTGCTTGATGATGATACATTTGGAACAGACAAAGAAATTATGTTATTTTAATTTTTTATTTATCAGTTCCACCTTGTTTTTCTCCTCTTGCGTAGATATCATCTCGCACTTAATGCATTTGAGCCCAGACGTAGACACAAATACCACTGGTGTTTTGACTCTAGCACTGCTAGCGTTATCTTTCTCTGATGATGCATGATGGCTAACCGCTAACTATTTAATTTTTTTAGCAGGTATACGGGACATAAACTCGCCGTCCCAGCCGAAAAAGTTAACCGCGTTGCGAAATCCTTAGCAATCAGAACTTCCAATGTTTAAAGATTTTATTGTTGTTGACATTATTAAAAACGATTGAATGAAAACGATTGAATAAAAACAACAGACCGAGCGTAGACAGTCCACTGATCTGTTGCGCGTTCTAATGACGTCTGTTGCGTGGACGGCCTAAAGCAGCAGAGAAGGCCACCTTTGGTCAGTCTGTGTTCTCTCTCTTCAGCTCCTCCACCTCTCTTTCACTGGAACTCAGTCTGGCCTCCATGTCAGACCACTCTGCATCTTGGTCTTTGTTCTTCGTCTCGACGGCTGCCAGTCTCGTCTGCAACACTTCATTCTCTCTCTTCAGTTACTCAATAATGTTATTTTGGCTTTGCAGTTCAGTGTTGGTGACGCTCAGCTCCACTCTCTGTTCCACCGCTGTCTCTCAGAGGCCTGAGCTCAGCCCAGTCGTCAGGGTTGGTGGTCTCTGTAGTGATGTCATTCTCTCTGGCCCCTCCACTCTCTCCCTGAGCCCATGTCCCAGACAGACAGAACAGCAACACCAGCACAGCTACAGCCCCCCTCATTCTGAAACAGAAGGCCTTTTCAGAAAGTATTTAGTCTATGAGGCTCAGTCCCCTTCTTTATATACACATCAGCGGTGGCTGGTGGCAGGAGATATATTGGAGGACAGGCTCATTGCAATGGCTGGAATGGAATAAATGGAATGGTATCAAATAAATGTTTGGCATTTCAATGAGTCTGTCCTCTGATATCTCCTCCCACCAGTCACAACTAATACACATTGGTTGCAGTGAACTAATACATGGGAACTTTAACAGGTGTCCTCAGTACATTTAGAGAACATAGACAAGGACTGTGTGTGATGTAACAGAACAAAGTTCAAGATTACTCCATTTCACGTCCTTCATTGGCCACGGTGGACTAATACATGGGAACTTTAGCAGATGTCCTCAGTGGAGCATTTAGACAATATAGCCAAATTCACTGTGTTATGTAACAGAACCCAGGTAAAGATTACCACATGCCACGCCATTAATATTTTGGGTTGTTTAAGGCCATGGGAAAGTCAATTGGGACTGCTACAATAGATTAGGATAGTGTATGATAAGACAGGGTGACAAACTATAGCAGAGGTCAAGGTAGTGCACTACATGATCTTACTATTCACTGTGATATCACACTTTGAAGCAAGGATGACAAGTTTGCTTATTAACACTTTACAATAAGGTTCCATTTGTAAAGGGTTTATAAAGGGTTTGTAATTAGGTTATTAACGGTTATTTAATAATTTGTAAATGTCTTATAAACCATTCATAAATGCGATATAACAAATTGGTCAAACTAGTGTGATAGCCAGTCAGGGCTTGCCAAATAGTCAGCCACTATTTCCCTCCAGCTGTTAACAATTTAGAAATGCACTTACAAATGCGTATAATATTGAACCCTCATATATCATCATGCAACCGTATTTTCAATGGTTGCACAGTTAAACAATAGTTATTTTCTCACTTTTGGGTGCGATGCATTGTTTTTCTGTCCCAGGAACAGAAATGGTTGGTTTTCAGACCAATGGTCCAACTCCCATGATGTGTCTTGCTCCACGTTTGAAACCCTGATGATGCATTGGTACACTTATTTACAGTGTCTTCAGAAAGTATTCATACCCCTTGACTTATTCCACATTTTGTTACGTTATAGCCTTATTCTAAAATAGATTACATCTTTTTTTCCCCCTCATTAATCTACACACACCTCACAATGACAAAGCAAAACAGGTCTCTTCCGAAGCAACTCCTGCGTTGTCTTGGCTGTGTCTTAAGGTCGTTGTCCTGTTGAAAGGTGAACCTTCGCCCCAGTCTGAGGTCCTGAGCGCTCGGGAGCAGGTTTTCATCAAGGATCTCTCTGTACTTTGCTCCGTTCATCTTTCCCTCGATCCTGACTGGTCTCCCAGTCCCTGCCACTAAAAAACATCCCCACAGCATGATGCTGTCACCACCATGCTTCACCGTAGGGATGGTGCCAGGTTTCCTCCAGATGTGACGCTTGGCATTCAGACCAGATAATCTTGTTTCTCATGGTCTGAGTCCTTTAGGTGCCTTTTGGCAAACTCCAAGCGGGCTGTGATGTGCCTTTTACTGAGGAGCGGCTTCCATCTGGCCACTCTACCATAAAGGCCTGATAGGTGGAGTGCTGCAGAGATGGTTGTCCTTCTGGAAGGTTCTCCCATCTCCACAGAAGAACTCTGGAGCTCTGTCAGAGTGACCATCGGGTTCTCGGTCACCTCCCTTCTCCCCCGATTGCTCAGTTTGGCCGGGCGGCCAGCTCTAGGAAGTCTTGGTGGTTCTAAACTTCTTCCATTTAAGAATGCTGCAGACAGATCTGTGCCTCGACACAATCCTGTCTCGGAGCTCTACGGACAATTCCTTCGACCTCATGGCTTGGGTTTTGCTCTGACATGCACTGTCAACTGTGGGACCTTATATAGACAGGTGTGTGCTTTTCCAAATCATGTCCAATCCATTGAATTTACCGCAGGTGGACTCCAATCAAGTTGTAGAAACATCTCAAGGAGGATGAATTTATTTTTAATATATTTACAAAAAATTCTAAAAACCTGTTTTCACTTTGTCATTATGGGGTATTGTGTGTAGATTGATGAGGGAAAAAATATAATTGTATCAATTTTAGAATAAGGCTGTAATGTAACAAAATGTGGAAAAAGTCTAAAGTTCTGAATAATTTCCGAATGCACTGTATTCCAGGAATGAAGGCTTCATACGATTTCAATCTATATTATTGGAGTTTCCGCTGGTTTCTGAGAAATTCCCCCCACTTTGTGAGATCTGGCCATCTGTGAAACGTGCTTGAAATAAAGACGACATGGAACGTGCGGAGCGATTTCTGTTGACACTGGCATCATGTGACAGTGCGTTATGAAGAATCAGGATAGACGTGGCTATGAGAAGTGTGCAAAGACCAGACAGAAGAGATTGCACGAAATAAACGTTATTCACAAGATAAAAATGTTGACAGAGAAGAGTGTAAATTCTCAATGCAATTTGTTTCACTTTTGGATACAGAAGTTCTGCTGGATGATTTAGCATGCTGATCAGCTAGCTAAGTAGCTAGCTAGCTAGCGAACGTTTGCTATCACCTCTGTCCTACCTTGCTAGCTAGGAAACGTTCGCTAGCTAGCATTAGGTAAAACTTAAAATTTATTTTTGAATATAGAATTTATGCCAGACGATTTAGCACAAGATAATCTTTGGCATGATATAGTTAGCTAGCTAAGTAGATCACGTTTGCTGGCTAGTTAGCTTTTCTAGCTAGCTAGCAAACATTAGCTGCCAGCTAGCTAGCTAACATCGACATGACAGAATTTCCATGCGATTTGTTTAGCTAGCTTTTTTGGATTAGCTAGCTAGCTAACTAGCTAGTGAGTGTATTAGCAAAAACAGTGATAACTAGCTAACCCCTTTAATCAGTGGTAGCTAGCTATTAGTGTTAACAAGTCATATTAAACACTAGTTAGCTATTATTATTATCATTATTATTATTATCTAGCAGTGGATAACATAACTACCTAAGCCTAAATGGTATCTATAATGTGTATCTATAGTGTCTATGCTAAATTGTCATAAATTCCTCTTCTCTCCCACAGGTCTCAGACTCCAGAATGGGAAAATGTTTAACAAGAAAGAAACAGATGAAGACACAGAAGGGGACTATGAGACCCTATGTTGTATTTTAAATAGTTAATCTGTCAATTTCTATTCTGACTTGTAATGTTAAAAAGGGGAGAAAAAGACATCCCCTGTTTATCTGAATTAGCTAGGCTACTCACTATACCAATAATGGGCTACAGATTTGAGTCACTGCAATTAAAATTGTTTTGCCAATGGATCTTTCTATTAAATTACATACTGTTAAATGTTTGCAACTCATTAATAAATGGCCAGAAGATTTCCACTAAGGTATGTTTGTATAAGTTATGCATATTGGTCCTCTGTAGCTCAATTGGTAGAGCATGGCGCTTGTAACGCCAGGGTAGTGGGTTCGATCCCCGGGACCACCCATACGTAAAAATGTATGCACACATGACTGTAAGTCACTTTGGATAAAAGAGATTTAGAGAGTGATTTATCAAGCCTTTATTGTACAATTCAGGAATGCACAAACAGAGTTTGAATTCAATGTGACATCCACAGAATCAAGAGAAAGACTACATTTAATCTGATTGAATGTCAGCTTTTTGTGGTGTTCTTCTCACATAGGGAAGAGCAGAAAGCCACTGAAGATGCTGTGTTTATCATGATCATCATAGAGCCTAAAGCCTGTATCGAGTTCCATATAGATCACATCCCCTTCCTCTAGCTTTAGAATCACTGCATTGGATACATACTGATAATCTGCTACATTTTTCTGACCTGCCCACATTATATGGTGGTTGCCGTTCTTTATCATGGATACACCCACACGTTTTGACATGCGGTTGTCCATGCCAGTGAATCTGAAGTAGTAGACCCCTCTCACTGGTGCTGTGAAGGCCCCTGTAACTGGGCTGTAGGCTTTACCAATGTTAGTGATGACATTGTGGTACACTAGTGTGATAACAGTATTGAAGGGTCCCACTGGACGGCCTAAAGCAGCAGAGAAGGCCACCTTTGGTCCGTCTGTGTTCCTTCTCTTCAGCTCCTCCACCTCTCTTTCAACGGCTGCCAGTCTAGTCTGCAACGCTCCATTCTCGCTCTTCAGCTCCTCCACCTCCCCCTCACTGGCATTCAGTCTCTCCCCCATGGCGGACAGCTCTGCTGCTTGTGACACGTTCTCTCTCTTCAGTTCTTCAACTGTGTTCTCGTGGAACTGAAGATCAGTCTTGGTGACGCTCAGCTCCACTCTCTGTTCCACCATCATGTCTCTCAGAGGCTTCAGCTCAGCCCAGTCGTCAGGTTGGGTGGTCTCTGTAGTGATGTAATTCTTTCTGACCCCTCCACTCTCTCCCTGAGCCCATTTCCCAGACAGACAGAACAGCAACACCAGCACAGCTACAGCCCCCCTCATTCTGAAACAGCAGGCCTTTTCAGAAAGTATTTAGTCTATGAGGCTCAGTCCCCTTCTTTATATACACATCAGCGGTGGCTGGTGGCAGGAGATATATTGGAGGATAGGCTCATTGTAATGGCTGGAATGGAATGAATGGATTGGTCTCAAACACATGGAAACCAGATGATTGATGTGTTTGATTCCTGTCCATTTATTCAATTTCAGGCATTTCAATGAGCTTGTCCTGATATCTCCTCCCACTGGTCACCACTGATAAACATTGGCCTTGGTGGACTAATACATGGAAACTTTAACAGGTGTCCTTAGTACATTTAGAAAACATAGCCAAGGACTGTGTGTGATGTAACAGAGCACAGGTAAATATGAATGAAATCTGGGGTTGTTTAAGGCCAAGAGAGTACTTGTCACGATCGTCGTAAGAACCGGACCAAGGCGCAGCGTGATAGGCGTACATCTTTTAATGAGTACTTAACCAACATGAACAAAACAACAAAACGATACGTGAAGTCCTAGGGTTAAACACAAACCTTACGGATCAAGATCCCACAAAACAAAAGTGCCAACAGGCTGCCTAAGTATGGTTCCAAATCAGAGACAACGAGAATCAGCTGACTCTGATTGGGAACCACCCTGGCCAACATAGAAAACAACGATCTAGAACAGAAACCTAGAAAACTAAACATAGAAACTAACACCCTGGCTCAACATTAAAGAGTCCCCAGAGCCAGGGCGTGACAGTACTTACTCAATACATCTTCCTCCTCCTCCTCTTCCTACTTATTCTTTTCCTCTTCTCCTCCCCCTCCTCCTCCTTCTTCTCCTCTTCTCCTCCCCCTCCTCATTCTTCTTCTCCTCTTCTCCTCCCCCTCCTCCTCCTCCTTCTCCTCCTCCTCCTCCTCCTCCTCCTCCTCCTCTTCCTCCTTCTTCTTCTGAGCACAAGCACGCACATGTACAGACACACGCTTCCTTAGCCGTGTCTTTGAAGAGCCCACGCCAATCGTCTGAAAATCAACAAATGTTCCTTTTACCATCAGAGCGAAGGAAAAAACACTCCCTCTCTCTAGGCTTATCTGAGTCCCATTATCTCCAAACAGAGACACATAGAATCTCCCGGCCGCTCCGCTATCCCAATAGCTTTTCTACTGGCACCTGATTGAATTTTCCTTCCTGAGACGACTACTTTTGAGAACGGGAGGGCTGATGCACTGAGACTCAGTCATGCAAAAAATATACTTTTGTACGAAGTATCCACTTGTGCACACAGTACACGCACAAAACGAGAGATGAAGATTGATAAAGTCGGCTTTACTGCAATCTCAATGACAGTGTGACCAGCAAACATGTCCACATTGACACGATGTGGGCCCAATTCGGGCTAAAAATTGGCCCCACGTAGGCTTCCCACATTGGGCCGATGCGCCTTGCTCATCGGCTCCATGTAGGCCCCAAGCCAGGTGGCCCCAAGGGCAGCCCTCACTTCGCTGGAAATAAGCCCACCCTTTTGGATTGGCTGCCCGTTACATTGTATCAGAATGACAACAAAGTTGTTACTATTATATACTGTATATATACACTGAGTGTACAAAACATTAAGAACACCTGCTCTTTCTATGACATAGACTGACCAGGTGAATCCATGTGAAAGCTATCCTCTCCCTTATTGATCTCGCTTATGTTTCATTGTGAAAACATGTTACTATCGATGTTCCCAAACAGATTTCACTTGGTTTCCCAAATGAAGAACTGGGTAGCTGCAGGAACAGGGTTGGAGAAACCATGGTATACAGAGTTTGGCAGAATATCACCTGTGATGCAGCAAAAATAGCCTACCCAACATGACTGAAAAACGAATCAGCGGGAAAGTGGCCTCCATTTGCTATTCCAGTGCACATGGATGACATGTTTTTTCCCCTGCCCCCTGTTCTTTTCTTTTTTTCTTTTTTTGTGTCTTTTTTAGGGTGTAGATCAGCTTTAATATTGCAGATAGATTGTAACTTCCATCAATTTATTTGTCTTCATCACTTCCAATCCCCCATGTTTTTTTTTCTTTCTCGCAAATATATATATACAATGCTCAAAAAAATTAAGGGAACACTAAAATAACACATCCTAGATCTGAATGAAAGAAATAATCTTATTAAATACTTTTTTCTTTACATTGTTGAATGTGCTGACAACAAAATCACACAAAAATTATCAATGAAATCAAATTTATCAACCCATGGAGGTCTGGATTTGGAGTCACCCTCAAAATTTAAGTGGAAAACCACATTACAGGCTGATCCAACTTTGATGTCATGTCCTTAAAACAAGTCAAAATGAGGCTCAGTAGTGTGTGTGGCCTCCACGTGCCTGTATGACCTCCCTACAACACCTGGGCATGCTCCTGATGAGGTGGCGGATGGTCTCCTAAGGGATCTCCTCCCAGACCTGGACTAAAGCATCCACCAACTCCTGGACAGTCTGTGGTGCAACGTAGCGTTGGTGGATGGAGCGAGACATGATGTCCCAGATGTGCTCAATTGGATTCAGGTCTGGGGAACGGGCGGTCCATAGCATCAATGCCTTCCTCTTGCAGGAACTGCTGACACATTTCAGCCACATGAGGTCTAGCATTGTCTTGCATTAGGAGGAACCCAGGGCCAACCGCACCAGCATATGGTCTCACAAGGGGTCTGAGGATCTCATCTCGGTACCTAATGGCAGTCAGGCTACCTCTGGCGAGCACATGGAGGGCTGTGCGGCCCCCCAAAGAAATGCCACCCCACACAATGACTGACCCACCGCCAAACCGGTCATGCTGGAGGATGTTGCAGGCAGCAGAACGTTCTCCATGGCGTCTCCAGACTCTGTCACATCTGTCACGTGCTCAGTGTGAACCTGCTTTCATCTGTGAAGAGCACAGGGCGCCAGTGGCGAATTTGCCAATCTTGGTGTTCTCTGGCAAATGCCAAACGTCCTGCACGGTGTTGGGCTGTAAGCACAACCCCCACCTGTGAACGTCGGGCCCTCATACCACCCTCATGGAGTCTGTTTCTGCCGTTTGAGAAGACACATGCATATTTGTGGCCTGCTGGAGGTCATTTTGCAGGGCTCTGGCAGTGCTCCTCCTGCTCCTCCTTGCAAAAAGGCAGAGGTAGCAGTCCTGCTGCTGGGTTGTTGCCCTCCTACGGCCTCCTCCACGTCTCCTGATGTACTGGCCTGTCTCCTGGTAGCGCCTCCATGCTCTGGACACTACGCTGACAGACACAGCAAACCTTCTTGCCACAGCTTGCATTGATGTGCCATCCTGGATGAGCTGCACCACCTTAGCCACTTGTGTGGGTCACCACCTGCAAAACCAGTCCTTTATTGGGGGTGTCTTGCTAATTGCCTATAATTTACACCTGCTGTCTATTCCATTTGCACAACAGCATGTGAAATGTATTGTCAATCAGTGTTGCTTCCTAAGTGGATTTTGTTGTCAGCACATTCAACTATGTAAAGAAAAAAGTATTTAATACGATTATTTAATTCATTCAGATCTAGGATGTGTTATTTTCGTGTTCCCTTTATTTTTTTGAGCAGTGTACATACATACATACATATAAATATGCATACACATACAGTGGGGAAAAAAAGTATTTAGTCAGCCACCAATTGTGGAAGTTCTCCCACTTAAAAAGATGAGAGAGGCCTGTAATTTTCATCATAGTTACACGTCAACTATGACAGACAAAATGAGAAAAAAGAATCCAGAAAATCACATTGTAGGATTTTTAATGAATTTATTTGCAAATTATGGTGGAAAATAAGTATTTGGTCAATAACAAAAGTTTCTCAATACTTTGTTATATACCCTTTGTTGGCAATGACACAGGTCAAACATTTTCTGTAAGTCTTCACAAGGTTTTCACACACTGTTGATGGTATTTTGGCCCATTCCTCCATGCAGATCTCCTCTAGAGCAGTGATGTTTTGGGGCTGTCGCTGGGCAACACGGACTTTCAACTCCCTCCAAAGATTTTCTATGGGGTTGAGATCTGGAGACTGGCTAGGCCACTCCAGGACCTTGAAATGCTTCTTACGAAGCCACTCCTTCGTTTTCCGGGCGGTGTGTTTGGGATCATAGTCATGCTGAAAGACCCAGCCACGTTTCATCTTCAATGCCCTTGCTGATGGAAGGAGGTTTTCACTCAAAATCTCACGATACATGGCCCCATTCATTCTTTCCTTTACACGGATCAGTCGTCCTGGTCCCTTTGCAGAAAAACAGCCCCAAAGCATGATGTTTCCACCCCCATGCTTCACAGTAGGTATGGTGTTCTTTGGATGCAACTCAGCATTCTTTGTCCTCCAAACACGACGAGTTGAGTTTTTACCAAAAGGTTTTATTTTGGTTTCATCTGACCATATGACATTCTCCCAATACTCTTCTGGATCATCCAAATGCACTCTAGCAAACTTCAGACGGGCCTGGACATGTACTGGCTTAAGCAGGGGGACACGTCTGGCACTGCAGGATTTGAGTCCCTGGCGGCGTAGTGTGTTACTGATGGTAGGCTTTGTTACTTTGGTCCCAGCTCTCTGCAGGTCATTCACTAGGTCCCCCCGTGTGGTTCTGGGATTTTTGCTCACCGTTCTTGTGATCATTTTGACCCCACGGGGTGAGATCTTGCGTGGAGCCCCAGATCGAGGGAGATTATCAGTGGTCTTGTATGTCTTCCATTTCCTAATAATTGCTCCCACAGTTGATTTCTTCAAACCAAGCTGCTTACCTATTGCAGATTCAGTCTTCCCAGCCTGGTGCAGGTCTACAATTTTGTTTCTGGTGTCCTTTGACAGCTCTTTGGTCTTGGCCATAGTGGAGTTTGGAGTGTGACTGTTTGAGGTTGTGAACAGGGTCGTGTTTTGGAGGACGCATGGCCCTCGACCTTTGCCTCTCCCGAGTCCGTATGGGACAAGACTGTAACTACCAATTGGGGAGAAAAAGGGGTAAAAGTACAAAAATAATAATA